TTAAGATACTTAGCATCAAACATGTTCTAATGGGTGTCTACCAAGTTTGTTCAAATAAAAGCCCTGGGGTCAAAATTGGCACCGCCCCGGTGGTCATTGATTTTCCTTATATGTGTATAGCAAAAACTTAAAAAATCTTCTTTGAAAAAACCCAAATAGCTAGAGTTAAGATATTAAGCATGAAACATCTTTGAGTGAGTGTCTACAAAGTTTGTTAAAAAAAAAAACCTAGGGTCAAAATTGGCCCCGCCCCGGGGGTCATTGATTTTCTTTTTATGTGTATAGCAAAAACTTAAAATCTTCCTTGAAAAAACCCAAATAGCTAGAGTTTAGATATTAAGCATGAAACATCTTCTAGTAAATGTCTACAAAGTTTGTTCAAATAAAAGCCCTGGGGTCAAAACTGGCCCGGCCCCAGGGGTGTCATTGTTTTTAACTATATGCGTATAGTAAAAACTTAAAAAAAATCTTCTTTTAAAAAGCCCAATGAGCTAGAGCTTAGATGTTTAGCATGAAACATCTTCTTATGGGTGTCTACCAAGTTTGTGCAAATAAAAGCCCTTGGGTTCAATTGGCCCTGCAACGTTGGGGGTGGGTGTTAGGGGGGCCTATATACAGGCAGGGCTCACGCTGTCGGTCGCCATAGTCGCCATTTGCGATTATTTTATAAGATTGGCGATTATTTTTGCATTTTGGCTACAAAATCTGGCGATTAAATTTTACTTCCAACAGTGTTTATATAAGGTGTAAAAATCGATAATGAATGCAGTATACCCAATTAACACCAGCGGGGTGCATTTAATTGAGTGTCAACTTTTTACCGGTCACGTGCTGCTAACTATATTGCCTGAGGTGATAAAATACATGCGAGATGACATCATGTATAATTGTATAAGTACTTTAAAGATATTGTCCAGCATTTATAATAGCCATCAAATATCCCTCAATTAGCCACAAAAATCGTTTTAAAATTGATAAACTGGATATTGACTTACCTAAAATTTACCGTGAATTCCAGTAATTCACCGTGGGTAAGCAACTTTGGTCATGTGACCACAAAAGTCAACGTACACGGCCAAAATAGCTCGGCTGAGGTAAGTTTTTTAGTGATTATTTTTCTGTCCAACCGATTTAAATTATGCTACATAGCCTACCATCCGCGGGAGTTCCGATGCTTTCTAAAAATGTATTTAGTTTCGTCTAACGTTTTGTATTTTATGAGAACATTCAAACATTATTTGCAAATTGTCGATGACAACGTACACACTATTGTGTAAAAGTGTTGATTAAAACTTTATAAACGATACGTATGTCAGTTTTAAGTAAAATTTCAGGTCTTAAAATATATAAGAGAATGTTTAAATGAAAAAAGAACTGGTTTCCTGCTGTCATTTTTTGTATTTATTTAAAAATTGACCAACTTACAGAAATGTCAACGTACACATACTGTCTAGAAAATGTCAACGTACACACTCACAATTTAGTTTGATAGTGGTCTGAAAATGAGGCTGCAACTTCGAAATAGGTAGGTGGCTTTTTCCAACAAGAAGTTGACTTTCAATTTAGATTGCCCTCTCAAACTGTATATACATTTGTAATTACTATTTTTTTACAAAGAAAAAAGTTTAGAGTGCATTCATTTCGTCGCAAATAAGCTTAAACAACCTTAAATTTTTTTATGTTTTTATTTTTTAGAAGACAAATTTCCAGTTACTCAAACTGCTTAATGATTAGCTGAAACAGTCGTTTTTATATTTTATACTGTATTAATATAGATCGTATTACAATATAGATCGTAATTACAGTCGTATTAATAACGTAAACAGCCAGGATAAGGGTCTCTTGCTCAACCAACTAGTGCCTTCCGTAGCAGCAAAAGGGTCCAAGGTTGACGATGACGCCGAGTTAAAATTTTATTTTATCGGTTTTTCAGCAGTTGCGTCACTTGATCCCTATGATTACATCACTAATGTTCTATTAACATTATATTTTCAAGAATATATCTACTTGCACTTGTTATGTAAAAATATCTTATAAACAATTCACCATTTTATAGGTCGGTTAAGGCAACCAATTACCCTTTGTTAAATGGTTAGTTACTAGTACCAAGTTTCTAGTAAAACGCTTTTACTGCTCAAGAAACCAGTTACTGGAAAATGGTTACTAGTAATAAATTTACCGGAAAATGGTTTCTAGTAACAAATTTACCCATCTTATTTTGTGAGCAATGTATGAGCTATAGATATGAATCAATGACATTGTTTAAACATTTAAAAAGTTATATCAAGTACCACAGTCATATGGCCCACTAGTTATCATAGAAATGCCACAATATATATTGAAATGATTGTTAAAATGCAGAAATTTTATTGATATTTTGCTTAAATAAAATGGTTTGCTTGAATTTAAAACTTTCATTGCAATGCAAATTATTAAAATGTATGGCACTTGAGCATTTTTGTTGGATACATATGATATCAAGGCTTGTAAATTAGCAGGCATGGTTGGCAAAATTTGCAGTGAAACAACAAGGGCAAAGAAAACTGTGAATGCAAAAATACATATCACGTCTATTAAGCTAGACCATGTATTAAATAACAATGTCTATAACATGTGGCAATTACATAACTAGTACAAGGAGATATATTATTGAAAATACAATGTTAATAGAACGTTTGTGATGTAATCATAGGGTTAAAGTGACATAACTGCTGAAATACCGGTAATAGTCACTCGGCGTCATTGTCAACCATAGGCAACTTTTGTTGCTACAGAAGGCACTAGGTTGGTTTAGCAAGAGACGCTTATCCTGGCTGTTTACGTAATTAAATGAATGTAAAATGATCTGAATTAATACAGTACAGAATTGTTGTTTCAGCAAATCATAAAGCAGTCTGAGTAACTGGACTTTTTTCTTCTAAAAGAAAACCACAAAAGAACAAATAAATAACATTATAAAAAGTTAAAGTTTGTTTAAGCTTATTTGTGATGATATGAATGTACTCTAAACTTTTTTCCTATGTATAAAACAGTTTGAGAGGGCAATCTAAATATAAAGCCAACTAGCTTTTTGTTAGAAAAAGCTACCTACTCCGAAGTTGCAGCCTTATGTTCAGACCACTATCAAACTAAATTGTGAGTGTGTACGTTGACATTTTCTAGACAGTATGTGTACGTTGACATTTCTGTAAGTTGGTCAATTTTTAAATAAATACAAAAAATGACAGCAGGAAACCAGTTCTTTTTTCATTAAAACATTCTCTTATATATTTTAAGACCTGAAATTTTACTTAGAACTGACATGCGTATCGTTTATTAAGTTTTCATCAACACTTTTACACAATAGTGTGTACGTTGTCATCGACAATTTGCAAATATTGTTTGAATGTTCTCATAAAATACAATACGTTAGACGAAACTAAATACATTTTTAGAAAGCATCGGAACTGCCGCGGTCGGTAGGCTATGTAGCATAATTTAAATCGGCTGGACAGAAAAATAATCACTAAAAAACTTACCTCAGCCGAGCTATTTTGGCCGTGTACGTTGACTTTTGTGGTCACATGACCAAAGTTGCTTACCCACGGTGAGTAATTGCAAATTTTGATTTTTTTTTGTTTTAAGCTACTTGACTAAATCGCCAGTGGAAAACAATGGTAAAATATTTAAAAAGTATTAAATTCCAAACAACTATTTGCACAACAACCAAAATTGTGAATATTTCTTCAGAAAACAGGAAAAATCCGATTGTCACATATTTTCGCGACACCGATAATTTTGATATTTATTTAAAGGTGAAATAAGCTATGTTCTGTTTAAAAATCTTTACTACTATGGCAGAAAATTTGTATTACATTGGTGATGATGATATTTTTCAGTTAATTATTCAGAAAAAGGCTGCATTCTGTGAATGAGTTTGCAAACTTGTGTTATTTCTATAGGCTAATATGACCTAGATCTACTCCAGTTCTGTGTGAAATGTGGAAATTGACAGCTGACAAAATTTGATTAGAACAAACAAAAAAAAGTTGTCTGATAACAGCCTTATGTAAAGTTATAATGAATCTTTAATATTATTGTTATACAGTAATTATACTAATTATAACGTTTTTATTCTGTTCTATAATAACAATTAAAGTTTTGGTTCTATTTAAAAAAGGTAGTTATCAATATACACAAATGTATCAGTTTATTTGAGAATCCTTATAAAACTGAAAGATATAAATGACTGTCATGTTTATTTAATCAACTGCTTATGTTGTTAATCGCTAATTCGTGAATAGTCCGCTGAACTTTTGGCTATTATTTTTTTAAGTTGAAATTATTGGCTATTATTTTATTTGAGCCAGTGTGAGCCCTGATACAGGTGAGCGACCTCAGGGCCATCATGGCCCTCTTGTTTATTTTCATGATGATATTTATTATTTACAAAATTGAATTTATTGGCAGATGCTATGCGGTTTTGGTGTGTTTGGAAAAAAGTAACATCAACATGTGTTTCTTTTACTAGCACTAGCAGTCACAGAAAATATAAATAATAGTAACTGTGATATCATAGAACCCTTGACATCATAGGAACTGAGTATACATTATAATTTAAAACCCATCGGCAGCGACACATTTTTGGTTTCAAATACACATAGACCTGCAAACTTTCGGCCGCACAATTTATTCAACACAACCACATACTGCATACGGCCATTTCATGTTTTATATGATATACATGTATCTAACACTACAATCTGGTGACAATGCCCGGTTTGGCATAAGACATAAAAAATCCTATATCTCGAAAAACTATTAATATGTTTCTTTCTAACTTGTTTTGTTATACATTTGCTTATATATGATACTAACCAAAATAATAGAAAAAATTTAGTTACTGTTCTACATCGATATATATTGAAACATCTTTTTACGACTAAGCAATATGTGAAATATGAAGACTTTGTGATTAATAGTTTTTAAGACAATGAGCAAGTATCATTTTGTCATTTCAGACACATGTGACCTTGAGTTTTGAACTAGAGAACAAATCAATGGGGGTTATTTACTTTATACAACTTACCAAAATGTGAAATATGATGACTTTGTGGTAAATGGTTTTCAACTGATAATCAGCGGAAGCCACGTGGTCTTCAGACTGACAGACTCAGACCGCCAGACATTAGCAAAAATATACCCCCGTCATCTTCTGTTCAACATTCTTGTGTTTATTGGATACAGAAGAATGAGTAATTGTAAAAGTAAATAACTGAAAACATTTTAATCATCTTAGAATTTTAAAAAATAATATTTGGACATAATAAACATAATTTTCAGAAGTTGAAAATGGTAAAATTTATAAATATTAGTTTTTGTGAATTGTGTGATAAATTGTTATCTTTTATTTAGGGTCTTAATTGAAGCAAAGAAATACAAGCTGACAAGATGGTGGACAGTAAAGAAACACTTTGTGAGAAGTTATTTCCTCAATTGCATCATGAGTGTGAAGTGTGTTATAAAGAGTTTTCTACAGAAACTTATCTTATCAGTCATATGGCAATACACACTGACATGAAAAAACACAAGTGTGAAGTATGTGATAAAGTGCTTTCCACAGGAGGTAATCTTACCAGACACATGACAATACACACTGGCGAGAAGAAACATTGTTGTAAAATGTGTTATAAAGCGTTTTCTACACGAGGTAATCTTGTCAGTCATATGGCAATACACACTGGCGAGAAAAATCATAACTGTCAATTCTGTGGTAAAGCATTTTCTCGACGGAGTCATCTTACCATACATATGACAATCCACACTGGCGAGAAAATACATAAGTGTGAATTCTGTGGTAAAGCATTTTCTCAACGGAGTAGTCTTATCACACATATGACAATACACACTGGTGAGAAAAAACATAAGTGTGAATTCTGTGGTAAAGCATTTTCTGAACGAAGTCATCTTACCAGACATATGACAATACACACTGGTGAGAAAAATCATAAGTGTGAATTCTGTGGTAAAGCATTTTCTGAACGAAGTCATCTTACCAGACATATGACAATACACACTGGTGAGAAAAATCATAAGTGTGAATTCTGTGGTAAAGCATTTTCTCAACGAAGTCATCTTACCAAACATATGACAATACACACTGGCGAGAAAAAACATAAGTGTGTAGTATGTGATAAAGCCTTTTCTACAGGAAGTAATCTTAAAAATCATATGACAATACACACTGGCGAGAAAAATCATAAGTGTGTAGTATGTGATAAAGCGTTTTCCAGTAAAAGTAGTGTTATCACACATATGGCAAAACACACTGGCAAGAAGAATCATAAATGCGAAGTGTGTGATAAAGCATTTTCCTCACGAAGTTATCTTATCATTCATATGACAATACATACTGGCGAGAAGAATTATAAATGTGAAGTCTGTGATAAAGCATTTTCTACTCAAAATACTCTTATCACACATATGGCAATACACACTGGAGAGAAAAGATGTAAGTGTGACATTTGTAATAAAGTATTTTCTCATAGCAGTTCTCTTAGTAGGCATATGACAATCCACACTGGCGAGAAAAGATATAAGTGTGACATTTGTGATAAAGTATTTTCTCAAAGCAGTTCTCTTATAAAGCATATGACAATCCACACTGGCGAGAAAAGATATAAGTGTGACATGTGTCATAAAGCGTTTCCTACAGGAAGTTATCTTATTAGGCATATGACAATACACACTGGCGAGAAGAATCATAAGTGTGAAGTATGTGATAAAGCATTTTCTGATAAAAGTTATCTTATCAGGCATATGAAAATACACACTGGCAATAAAAAAACATACATGTAAGTGGACAGTGTGTGATAAAGGGTTTTCTACACAAAGAAGTCTTATCAGGCATATGAAAATACACACTGGCAAGAAAAAAACATGAATGTGACATGTGTGATAAAGCATTTTCTCAACATACTAATCTTATCACACATATGACAACACACACTGGTGAGAATAAATAATACTATGTCACATATAGCAAACATGCTGGTGAGTGAAAAAAACATAGATGTAAAGTGTGTCATTAAGCTTTTCCAACGTGGTTCTTGAAACAAACATATGACTTTACACACTGGTGATAAAAAGATTTATTTGAAGTTCACAGGTAACCAATCATTTTTTTTAAAGAAATGAAGTTAAATCACACATGTTGAATTAGCACCATATGGAGTTAATTATGGATTGTATTTACTAGTTGTTTAACCTCTTAAGCAGTTTTCTATTATGATTTTACTTTTGTAAGATGTTTGTTTGGTTTAAGAAAGTTATTTAAACAGTTTTTCAGTTTGATTGAATAAACAATATGCCTGCCTGTTATGTTTATTTTATTATTATTATACCCCCAAAAACGAAGTTTGGGGGGGGGGGGGGGTATATAGGAGTCACCCGGTGGTCGGTCGGTCGGTCCAGACGTCCGTTGCATTTTCCTTGTCCGGAGCATAACTTGATAATTTTTTTCCTCTTTGTCTATATCGTCAGCGGTTTCCCTATATGTTTATATTGTCCGCTTAAGGCGTCCGAGTTTAAGACTGCGCCTAGATTTAGTTTCAATTAACGTTTTTATCCGTCCATGAGTATGTCTAGTATATTGTTACAGTGTCAATCAACCTTAAATGTATTTCTTACGGTAAGTATACGATTTTTTTTTAAACACTAGTTTTATTTACATGGTTACTATTTTCATTGTTTTTTTTTACTCTCTCTCCTGACTGTGGAGTGTAAGGCTTTTATCTTATAAAGATATCAGGTAAGTAAGTAATTATTTTCGTAGTCTCAAATTATTAACCTATTATTTACTTTGGCTCAATTCTATAGATAATGTGAATAAGGCACCACCTCAAAGCTCTTATAGTAATTATTGTAGACAGTAAGACTAGCCCGGGGTTCTATGATATCACGGTACTGATACTTAACGTTTATCGGAAAACATTTCTTAAAATAGTCAGAATTGGAGAAATTTTCTCTTGATATACATCAAAATATAAACCACAGGAACTTGAAATTCTATCAAATAACCGATATTAATGATAATATCCAAATATACCCCCTATATACTATAAATAAACACGTGTTTATTTATAGTATATAGGGGGTATATTTGGATATTATCATTAATATTGGTTATTTGATAGAATTTCAAGGTCCTGTGTATAAACCAAATATTGCATGAGCATTGGGAGCAGTTACCTTCTCAATTTAGCCTGACAAAGCTGCTGCCAAACTGTAGGAGTTTTCCATAGATCTGAACCAGGATTAGGTAAAGGCCTATACACAATCTCAGGCTTTGGTAACTGCAAGAGCTGAAAAATATGTATAACAAGTTAAAGGAATTATAAGAGTCATTCATGGTGTATGTCTGATATCTAAAAAGAAAGAAAATAATGTCCAAATTAATGGTTTGAATTTCTGATTTACATCTATAGGAGAGCCAAATATTGTGTGCTTAAAAATTCTTGCCTGACAATAGCAGTTTAGACATTATAAACTGAACCTAATTTAACTGTTGTATATAGCAGCTTCAACAATAACAACAACAACAATCACATCGACTGTGTTAAATTCTAAATGAGTCAATTATTTATAAACTTCACAGTTAAATGACTAGAAAATCTGTTATGTGTATTTAAGCCAATACACTCTAGCTGCCACACAACAAAAGTTCAAGTTTCACCACACAGAAAATGCCTATATTTCCAAAAATGTAAATTATCATATTTACCCTGTTCAGCTGTCAGTTCTGCTTCATTGAAATACAAGACAATAGTGAATATTTACATATTGATTATTGCAGCATTAATCCTTTGCTGAAACATCAGTGCTTATAATGTGTGGTCCATATGAGCAATAGGCTACAATGGTGCTTTGTTCTTATCCCATGGCCGGTGCTTGTTAGTCTGGATTACCTGCCCTTTGTCTAAACAAAGATTCTATTTGTTTACAATAGAAGCTGGGAACCAGACTAGGTGCTTGTTGGACCCCTATAAGATCTCTGGAATGAGCTTGCCCATCACTTTTTTTACCAATGTAACCAGTCTGAAAACAGACACTCCCCAACACCTTGTAATGCATGGTTCATTAAATGAATTATCTTTTCCTATTAAATTGGCTACTGCGTCGGTAACACAGTAGATTATGGAAAAGAAAAGCCTGATATATTAACGCTTTTGTCAACATTCTTTGTTGAGTTAAGGTGTCAGTAATGATGGATTTATACTATAAGTTATAAATGTTTAAGTAAAACATAAGAAGTTATTAATGTTTAAGGAATATTTAAGAAGTTATAAATGTTTAAGTAAAATATAAGAAGTTGTAAATGTTTAAGTAATATATAAGAAGTTATAAATGTTTAAGTAAAACATAAGAAGTTATAAATGTTTAAATCAAACATAAGAACTTATTAATGTTTAAGTAAAATATAAGAAGTGGCATGTTCTGAATAAATGTATAAAGTTACATTATATTATTATCTTTTATTTAGGGTCTTACTTCTAGCAAAGAAATACAAGCTGACAAGATGGTGGACAGTAAAGACACACTTTGTGAGAAGTTATCATCCTCAATTGCATCATGAGTGTGAAGTGTGTTATAAAGCGTTTTCTACAGAAACTTATCTTATCAATCATATGGCAATACACACTGGCATGAAAAAACATAAGTGTGAAGTATGTGATAAAGCGCTTTCTACACGACATAGTCTTATCAGACAT